GATCAAGAAATATATGTCTAGGTAAGGTTTATCTGAGAACAACTGGTCTTTGCCCAAGATTTATCTACATGACACACAGTAATTAAAAATACCAGACTGGTGGAACTAACCTTCTTGGGTGTTTAACAGACATACTTTGAGGTCTATAATAATTTGGTCAGAGGGACATAAAGGACAATTTTTGCTCCTCGCCCTCCTAGGTCGACTAGTTCCAGGGGACTATGAACATTCAGACTTTTAAATCCTTAATCCGACGGAATGTCTTTAACCCCTGGAGTAGTTGAATCCAAGAGCAAATCCAAACCATATGAAACTACCAGGAATGGCTGACCTCATCCCTGGGGGTTTTGTTAAAAATACAGATTTTAGGGCCTCAGGTTTATGGAAATAGATTTCGTAATGTGAGACCCCAGGAATTTGCATGTTTAGCAAGTGTTTTGCAAGTGATGTTTTGTCCTTGATAACATTTGAGGACCAGTGTGGGCTACTGACGGCCAAACGTTGCAAGTCTTCAGAAGCTGTACTTCAGGCCTGCATCACACCCATGAGCAGGGATATGATTGGTCCCTTAAAATGACAAGATTCTTTTGGCTTGCTTTTGACCTATCAGGAGAACAGAATCTTAAAAATCATCTAGATAGACACGTAGAAATAAATAAATAAATAAATAAATACATACATACATACATACATACATACCCAAGTAGGGTTTAATGTCTGGGGTGGCAGTTTGATAGGATTTCCAGATTTACCTGCCCTGGGTTAAAATTTCAAAGACTGGCTACTTGTGTCATTGAAGTTGAAGCATTAAAAATTGAGTCTATCAAACCCTGTCTATCTCTGTATGTCTCTCAAACACAAACATGTGCATGCATGTGCAAACACAAATGTACTTTGATAAACTATTTGTTTGTCCTTTATAACATTTTACAGATATACAAAATATACAGATTTTACCTTCCTAATTTTTTCCATTACATTTTTTTTTTGCATTAGTCATTTGGTTATTTTGGTTTTTATGTTATTATTGAAGCAACACTGAGGCATTATGCCCAATGTTTTGCTTGCTAACCATTCTTAATTCTTCAATTGCAGATCTTTCTCCTGGCCTGTCCTCCATGTCCGGGAGCTATCGTCATTTTCAAGTAAGAGAAAATTGTGTTTTTCTCCATTGATGTTGCTATTAAGGCATTTCTACTAGTTTGATGACAAAGGACAATGTGCTGGCAACCCACTGGCCAAATAATGTTTGGTCCTCTAAAAAGTCTTTGACGATCCACTGAGCCAGAAAACTGCTGTACATGGGCATGTGTCTGTTGTCCATTCCTGGCAAATCCTATTGCCAGGATGCTTTGGAAACTCACCACGCTGCTTAAGTTGCTCTTGATTCTTTTTGGGGTCCAAAGATCTATCCCATATAGATCCCCTAGTCTCCACTAAGACTGCAGTCTTTGTATCGAAGGCCATTCATTGTTCCTGTGTCTTAGTGGATATTTCTCCTTAAAGAGAAAGACAAAGTATTGGGGATTATGGGGATTGATCTCAGGGTCTTGTACTTGCCTGGGCAATGGTCTATTACTGAGCTACATCCCGAAACCCAATAAATCGTGACTTTAAAATATCAGTAAGCACAAATCCACTAAAGTACATTGTAAGCAAGCTGTGTTTCTCTGAAGGCAAGTTTACTTAGATGAAATCAGTAAGAGTTCCGGAACCCTCATTTTAACCATGAGATTTATCTCATTCATCAAACCCTTTATTTGAATTGTTAATGAGAAGGTAAATCAACTGAATTAATTTCATTTTTCCCCCTTTTCTGGCCCCCAATTTGCAGCTATTGCTGAACAGTGAAATGGCCAGAGGGAGGGAACAGGAAGTAAAAAGCCTAGCAGATGCTTTGATATTTGGAAGTGGTGTAAATGGTTTTCTGATTTGCTTAAGTCATTAAAATGGTAGGCAGGGGGAAAATACCCCATTTGCTGTTGCAAACAGCTCCTCAAAATAGCCAGTTAGTTTCTTGCCTTAGGTTAGTAAGTTTTTTTTTTGGTGAGGGGTAATGGATCCTGATTCTATTTCTTATGTGGACAACTGCTAAAGGAAAGGGATATTTAACCCCACTTCCCTCCCTGGCCTTTTCAAAATCAGCTCTATCATTCAGCATAATGTTTTAAAGGTAACATTCATTGGTTTTATTTCATTAGGGTGAAAGCAACAATTTTCATCATAGAAAGTACCGAGACACATAAAAATGAAAATAACTACCTGAATCCTACCCCCTAGAGATAATTTTGCTTATTGCCTTTCTTTCTGTTTTGTTTTTATAGGCAGAAATCATATTGTTTGTTGGAGACTTTTACTGTGTCCTCTCTACATTTAATTTCATTTATTTTACTTATATTTTTATATTTATGCATAAATACATAAATATGATTACTGGAATTTTCACAGGGGTCCTTTTCAAGTTATTTTTTTGCTTGGCCCTTTGCTTATACCATCCCTGAGTATGCCAACTGATTTATACCTTTCCATGTGTTTAGGCACACTCATGTGCATTTTGGAACTTTCATTAATTGTTTAAAAAATATAGAATTTTATATTCTTCAATACACCTTGCTTTTTCACTGAACAATATCTCATGGAAATTTATCAAAGGCTATAGGTATATGTCTTACCTTATAAAGCTACAAAATATTTCATGGACATATAACAGTTCATCTTAGCATTTCCTTATTAATGAACATTTAATTTAGTTTCTTTCCATTATGCTGAAATTAACACCACTGTTCATGTACCCTTATATATTGTTGCTTTTACTTTATAGATA